TCAGAAGGGAATAGAGAAAGTGTCTGAATACTTCACCCCTCCTTCCCAAACTTCTTTGGCCTTCATCATGTATGGCAATACATGAATTCTTGTAGGACGTTGTTCCATTGTTTCCTCACTCAATCTCACATATGGATATTGGGGCTTTGAGGTTGTGTTCCGAATATAAGAATCCACTTTATTTTGTGTGATGTACATTAATTCTGCTGCTTTTTTCCTTCCTCCTATTTGAAGTGTTGCACTGCGGAGATCAGAGATCCCGAGGGAGAGAAGAACCCATCAAATCCCCCTCAGGAGCTATTTTTCAGGAGGATCCCTGAAGGTAATGGAAAATCCTCCTGATTGTCCATCTGTCTTACTTTCACTATCTCTTCTCTTCTATGGAATACCTCCTCCTATTTTTCTAATTATGTATTTTGAAATTATGTATTCCTTTTAGAAAAACAAAGAATGAAGCTTTCTGTTTTTTATGACGGAGATCAAACAGCGGTTGAACCACCAAATCAAGTAAGAAAGGGAAAAGTTATTATATTTCTATTCTCCCTTCAGGAAGTGAAGTGGGTGTGCAGAGTGCTCTCTTCCTTCTGTTTCCCACTCTTGTTTTGCCTGGATTATTTTTGTGTTCTTCCACAAATTGGAAAGCAGAAAGGCAGGTTCAGGTTGCTGTCAGCCAGCATAGCTTCCTCTGAAACCATTTTTTTTTAATGCTTCAAGAAATAGGAGTAAACGTATCACAGTGGCAGGAACTGCTAAAGACCCTTTTTTTTTTTCATTCGTTGACTCAGAATCGTGCAGGGCTAATGAAAAATAAATACTCACATTGCCATTTTTAAAAACCCTCATTTATAGCCTGTAGTTCAAAAAATAAGCAAAGTGTATTAAAAAATAAAGCAGAGTATTAAAATCCAAAGGGAGTGGCCGTGTTGAGCATGTAATCATGGTACTTTGGGCTAAAAAATAGTCTCCTATCATCTGATTTGTGCCTCAATTAGGAGATCAAACATTCCCGCTTTGCAAAAGCTGAGAAATAACTTTCCCAGGGAATTTTCTTTTTGTTTTTTTTCCTTTCAGTGAATGGCTCAGACTACTAGATCAATCAATGACAGAGAGAGAGAGAGGGGGGGGGGTTTAGGGTTTAGGGTTTATTAACATTTATAGGCCGCCCTTTTCCCTGAGGGGACTCAGGGCGGCTTACATAGGATCAGGGGAGGGAAATACAAA